CTCTCTCTCTCTCTCTCTCTCTCTCTCTCTCTCTCTCTCTCTCTCTCTCTCTCTCTCTCTCTCTCTCTCTCTCTCTCTCTCTCCTCTCCTCTCTCTCTCTCTCTCTCTCTCTCTCTCTCTCTCTCTCTCTCTCTCTCCTCTCTCTCTCTCTCTCTCTCTCTCTCTCTCTCTCTCTCTCTCTCTCTCTCTCTCCTCTCTCTCTCTCTCTCTCTCTCTCTCTCTCTCTCTCTCTCTCTCTCTCTCTCTCTCTCTCTCTCTCTCTCTCTCTCTCTCTCTCTCTCTCTCTCTCTCTCTCTCTCTCTCTCTCTCTCTCTCTCTCTCTCTCTCTCTCTCTCTCTCTCTCTCTCTCTCTCTCTCTCTCTCTCTCTCTCTCTCTCTCTCTCTCTCTCTCTCTCTCTCTCTCTCCTCTCTCTCTCTCTCTCTCTCTCTCTCTCTCTCTCTCTCTCTCTCTCTCTCTCTCTCTCTCTCTCTCTCTCTCTCTCTCTCTCTCTCTCTCTCTCTCTCTCTCTCTCTCTCTCTTTTGTCTATACAGAGTACAACATTTAACCCTTCAATATATATGAGCAGTAAATAAGTGTTGCTTTCATATTCTTATGTAGAGTAATGACGATATATTTTCACATGTGCGCACTTACATACGAGCAGTCTCACTTTTTTTTTTTACCATTAATGGTTAGCTACTTATATTGTTCCATTTATTAACATTAAATAACATTACAGGTACTTCAAGCAACCATATTCATTTTTTACATTAATTTTACCACAGCTAAACTCAGGGTCTTATTTTCTTCAGTTTTTTATGTAGAACCAATCAGTCACTGGTTTCGTAAGCTTTAACATAAACAATGCCGGCCGCCGTCTTGTCTCCTCTAATATTCCACGTATTATTAATAAATTGTATTGTTAATTTTGCACACACATACATTAATTCAATAAAAACAAATTCAGAAACATTAATTCAAATATACAGTATATGAACAGTAAATAAGTGTTGCTTTCATATTCTTATGTAAAGTAATGACGATATGTTTTCACGTGTGCGCATGCGCACTTACATATGCGATCTCTCTTTTTCTTTACCATTATCGTTAGCTACTTCTATTGTTCCATTTATTAACATTAAATAACATTACTTAAAACAACCATATTAATTTTACTACAGCTACAACCAAGGTCTTATTTTCTTCAGTTTTATATGTAGAACCAGTCAGTCACTGGTTTTGTAATCAACGAAAACAATGCTGTGTCATTTCCTCGTGTGTTTTAATATTCTACGTATTATTAATGAATTGTATTGCTCATTTTGCACACATAAACATTAATTCAATAAAAAAGACATTCAGTAATAAACAATAATGAATCTTTTGTACATAAGAGAAATGACGCTGTTTACACGATTATGCACGTCGTCTGCACGTTGGCGGGCCGTTCAAACCCGTCGAAATTCAAGTTTCCGCCGTCAAAATTTTTATTTATTTATTTTTTTGTGTTCCAATAAAATACGTTAAGAATTAAAAACTCGCAAAATTTGAGAAGCTACTATACGACATTTAACCCTTCAATATGTCTTCAAAGAGACCATGACGAAGAGAAAGTGGTGCTAGTGCTTCCAGGCATAAGCACAAGTCACTATCTATCCAGGAAAAGGGTGAATTTCCATGGTCCGGCAATTTCCATGGTCCAGCACCGGTCAGGTCCCGAGGTTGCCGGACTAGAGAGGTACAACCTGTATATCAAAGTGCTGGAACAATTTTTTTTTCGTATAAGCGGATTTTCGTAAATCAAAACACACCTGTACAGTGGACAGAGGCAACCCCTCCAGAGATGCAGAAAATATAAAAAAGGCATAAAAGTAGAATTATGCAAAACGTATTCCTGTAACAGAAGAGGCTTTGAGAGGGGAGGGGAGATGTGAGCGGGGGGGTTGTGGTCAGGCCTGGTAGGCCGGGCCCACAGTCGGCTCTCACACCAAGGATAATCCTATATGAGTGGAGAGGTAGAGGAAGGCTGTTAACTGGGGAATAGGACTAACAAACAACAACTTAATATGGGATAGTTATTATATATAGGGCTCACTGTATTACTGCATAATACCACAGACATATGACAATGTTTTAGTCAACACAAGGGAATTGAGAACTAATTCTAACAGTTCTTCATTTATGAACAACGTTACCCAAAATGAGCAGTTACACTCTTAAAACAACCTATCTGCCTAGCTAGCTAACCAAGGGGTCATATGACTCACAATACATTTCGGGAAATGGATAAAACCTAATAGGTACTCACATTATAACCCGTCATGTGAGGAGATGACCCCTACACGTCCACACTACACTAATTCCAAACACAGACTCTGCTTTTCAAACTACCTCAGCCCGCAAAGAGATGCTATAACTTTCATGACGTTACATCTCAAGGCTTTCTCATTGGTCCCGGTATTCCTAGGGCATTTCTATTGGCTCGAACTTGGCTGGAACTCTCAGGCGGGGACCCCCCTTCCCCCCTCCCTTTTTTTTTTTAAGGTAAGAAAGCTTATATCTTTAGGAGAAATTTTCAGAATTTGGTGCTAAGGCAGGACCACTTACTTAAAGTATTACCCTGCTACATTCTATATTTATAACTAATAAAATGAATGAAACTAGCCTAACTAACCAAACCTAACCTAATAGGTCCAGTGTACCTACACGAGATCACTGAGATGAAGGTACTGTAATATGATGTCGGGTGGTGGCACTGAGTTCATTAATTGGGGTTAAAAGAAGTCTTTAAATTTTCATGATGTAAGAGAGCATTTTATGTTATATGGTGCAATGTCTTATAGTCGGTAGTGAGGTGTGCAAACTATCAGGATGCAAAATGGTGCTTGTGAGCAACAGGTTTGTAATACTTGGTCTAGACAACTGCATAACCCAATCCTAATTCTGAGCAACCAAATGTTTCCCATCTTATTTTCTATACAAACTGTTAAAAAAGGAGCACCTTAACCTAACCTAAAATAATGCACTTCTTCCTAGGAGAGGTCTGGTAGGCGATTAGGTAAGGTTTTGTTGGCTGATTTATCTTATTTAAGATAATTCAGTCTCTGGTTGCCTGATAATGGCCACTGCATGGAGGTGAATCATCGGTGCTGGTTCATGTTTGGGAAAAAAATGGAAAAACAAACATAGAAAATTTTATTTCCTCTAACCTTTTATTGGCATTTGAGGTTAAGAAACAAATATTACAGAAGAAGTCCAAAAATCCGGACTGCTTGGGGATTGGGTCGGTCCGGATTTTCGGATTTTCCGGATTCTCAGGCAGTACTTTTAAAATTCAAATTTAAGGAGGAATAAAGAAGAGATGAACAGGTACATTTTGAGAGTTTATTCATAAGCAAGTAAAGCATGCTTCATTTATCAAAACGAGCAGTTTTAAAGAAAAATAAAGTCAACACTTGACAAAAATGTAAACAAACTGTCTAATACCATGACGAGTCTTAAAATTCCTAAGCCATCCATCACTAAATGCTCACTCTGATTCAATGTTTATTTGCTCCTTAAAAGACTTTGCTTTGGCAATAAGCATCAGCCCATAAATTGCCATACCTTCTGATCGTTTTAACAAAAACCATTTGTGCAACACTTTATCAAGATTTTCTAATTTGGGCCAACGTAAACTTTTTCTTTCAGCAATTTTATTATAAGGGTCAGAAGAAGCTGTGAATTCTAGAATTTTATTCTTTGCCTTTTTTATATCATAATTTGTAGACTTTCCAATGTCGTATGTTTCCATTAGATCAGTATTGCTCACACCACGTTCTAGTTTCTTAATTATTTCAAGTTTGTCACTCAATTTCAATGTGTTCTTCTTTCTCTTCACACAACGAAGTTTATCTACTTTAGGAGCCATTATTATGGGCTTGTACTCTGTAAATGGAAAGAGTAGGACTCAAAATTACATACGTTGTCACAGTTTGATTGCTTGTTTTAAAGTGGCGATTGCGTGGTCGCTTGTTGTCGCTGTGTAGCTGTGGCGTTCAGGCATGCACACATACACACAAAAGATTTATAGTGCCACAAATTTTACATTTGAGGACAAGCTAATTACAAAACTAACAAAATTAGCTACCTATAATTTACAATTACTTTTATTATTAGAATTATGTAAATTAATTTTTTTAAAGGAACGCCATTCATTCACGTAACCCACAAAAGCCCGCTAAATTTAAAAAGTTTTATAGTTTTCCAAAAGTCCGGATTCTCGGGTGGTCCGGATTTCTGGCATCCGGATTTTTGGACTTTTACTGTTTTTGAGATATGTTTTCCTTAAGAGTCTCATTCTTCCAGTACCATATGATGATGTAAGTTGCTGTACAATATTTCAATTGTGGTAGTTTATTGTCATGAATAAAAATATTTAAATAAATGAAATTTACCTTCACCACACCCCAACTCCTATGAACCTAAAGTATTCTATTACAAGCACCATCAGATACTTAGCTCAGATTCTTAACAGGAAAGGGTTATGAAACCTTATTTTCTTGAATATGACGAGAATCTATCAATGTTGGATTTCCTTGCTACGCCGGTACACAATTAGCAATACTGTACACTTACGCCAAGCAGCTGAGTTGTCCTATCAACTCAAGCAAACCAATAATCATGATGCATCATGAATTGATACGGTACATTACAAACATTCTTGGTCACTGTCTTGTGAAAAATCACAACTCTACTGCATCTCCTTTACTTTAAATGTGATAAGGAAGGAACAAATAAATCATGGTGTGGTTAAAACTATGTGAACCAGTCTCAGATTACATTATATTACTGTAATTGGGAAATGACAGCCAATTTTGGTGCTTCTAAAGTAATAAATACAGTACTCCTTATTTTATACTGTAATTATACATAGATGTTAATGAGTTGAATTATACAGTACAGTATCTTGTTGTGTCTCTGTATGATCCAAAAATTTATGTTCAAGAACAGTAATGATTTTTTTCTGCTACTCTACAGGACAAATGGGGAAGAACACAGTAAACAATCGAAAGAAAAAGTTAGCAAAATTACGCAAAAAGTCTGCTGCGACCCTTAACGTAGCATCACTGACAACAGATGAACTTTTAACCCGTGCTCAGGAACAAATAGATTGTTTCCATTATGAAAGAGCTCAGTACTTATGTCAAGAAGCCTTAAAACGAGATCCAGATAATGTATCAGCACTGGAGACATCATCAAGTTTATGTCTTGAAGTTGGAAACCTAGATGGAGCTAAACATTGCTTGGGACGAGCTATCACATTAAAATCAGAAGAAGGTTATGCAAAGTACATGTCCATGGCCCAGTTACTGGAAGGCAAAGAATCTCTCCAGTGCTATCAAAAGGGCATTGAAATTCTAACTAAAGTTATAACTGGGCTTCAACACTCAGTTAAAGAAAACAAAGCAAAATGCTCTGCGAATAATTCTAATGATATATCAGCTACAAAACCAGAAATGGCAGCAGATGAAAATGAATCTAAAGATGATAGTAAAGAGACAATTATTGGAGCTACAAAGACTGAAAATGACCCACTCCCCTCAAGTTCCTTGGTAGAACCTGAAGGCAATATGGCAGACCTTGTTCGGCAACTTTCTACTGCAAATTGCTCTGTGGCAGAACTATTTATGACAGATTTATGTGATGAAGAAGGTGCAGAGGAACAGTGTCGTTCTAGTATAACCAATGCCATTCAAGCTGATTCCAACAATCCAGAGGCATATCAGCTTATGGTAAGTAGCACAATATTTTTTTTTCATAAATCTCTGAATTAATATAAAATTAGAAAAGTTACTACCATACTGTATTACACATTATTTTAATGTCATACTTGTTTATATCCTCTCCACCACCATATTTGCATCCTGTAAAAGGAACAAGTCTATAATATCCCTATTAATATGTAATAAGGATTACAGTATCAACCCCTTTCTTATTATTATGTTTTTGTATATCAATTAAGACTACTAAAATAAGCTTATCAGTCGTCATTTAGAATAAATATATATTTTTTTAAGTCAGTATGGTTTTAGGATATGGAAGCTATTGATTAAGATTTACAAATCAGCCATGGCAATTGTGTTATCTATACAATGTTTTAACATTACTAAGGGCATATCTGTCTGCACGGACTATGTTAGCCCTTGAATAATCACACATTAGATTATCTGCTTTTGCTTCCCCTCTGTCACATCACTGCAGCTGATAGTTGTTGGCAGTCATAGAATTTTTTTTATTTTGTATATACAGTCAACCCTCACTTTACGCGGTTAATGTAACCCACAGGGTACCGCGGAAAGTGAGAAACGCGTAAAGTGAATAACATAACATATGGGATTAAATGAAATAGAGGCCAGCTGACCCCCAAACTCCACTTTTTCCAACACAATACCTATGTTCTAGTAAAAATAACATCTTAATTTTATGATGGTACATGCACACAATTAATACTTTAGAGAAATGGAGAAATACAGTCGCCAAGTTAATGTCCATTCAAATAATGGACACGACTCCCTCCCCCTCTTCTCACACTACACTGCTGGCTCTTCCCTCTGAGAAATTTTGGGGGGAAAACCAGGTATAGTAATAAATAATAATCAAAAAAAAGGTAGGATAATATAATTGACATTGCTGGATTCCTTGTAAGACCAGGAATATTTTGAATATAAATGTCATATATTTTTCACAAAAGATAACATATTTACTCAGATTAAACATTTTATCTAAAATTTGTATGTCTAATGCAAAATATATGATGTTTATATTCAAAATGATCACCAAATTGTAAGAATTCCAGCAATGTAAATTATATTCTGGCCGGGTAATTTGTATGAATTTTATGAGCTAAAACAAATATCTTCAGTTAATAAAAAAAAAATATTCTTCGCGACACTATCTGTCAATCAAAGTACCCCACCTTGCCTTCCCCCCTCTTCCAACCGCGCGGTCAGTCCCAACCCTCCCCCCCCACCCCCCACCAATCCTCCCTTCAAGAGAAAGGTTGGGTGAAAAAAATAAATTTTAACATTTTGTATTAAATAATACCTCAGATTAAAGTTAGGATAATATAATTGACATTGCTGGATTCCTTGTAAGACCAGGAATATTTTGAATATAAACGTCATATATTTTGCACAAAAGATAACATACTTACTCAGAGTGAACATTATATCTAAAAATTTTATGTCTAATGCAAAATATATGATGTTTATATTCAAAATGATCATCAAATTGTAAGAATTCCAGCAATGTAAATTATATTCTGGCCGGGTAATTTGTATGAATTTTATGAGCTAAAATAAAAATCTTCAGTTAATAAAAAAAAAAAATTCTTCACACGGTAACAGATGGTCGGTCGCCGGTCCCTCCCTCCCTCCCCCCCACCCCCCACCAACGTCCCTACTAGATAAATGTGTGGGAATACCAGACTGTTTACCTTTTTAGTAATAAATAATAAATCAGACTAAAGTTAGGATAATATAATTGACATTGCTGGATTCCTTGTAAGACCAGGAATATTTTGAATATAAATATCATATATTTTGCACAAAAGATAACATATTTACTCAAGAGTAAACATTATATCTAAAATTTGTATGTCTAATGCAAAATCTATGATGTTTATATTCAAAATGATCATCAAATTGTAAGAATTCCAGCAATGTAAATTATATTCTGGCCGGATAATTTGTATGAATTTTATGAGCTAAATTAAAAAAAATTATACTTCACCGTGTAAAGGGGTACACCCACGGACTGTGAGCATCCTGGGTTCTGGCAGGGCACCGCGTAAACGTGGAAACGCGGAATGTGGGACTGCGTAAAGTGAGGGTTGACTGTATATATATATATATATATATATATATATATATATATATATATATATATATATATATATATATATATATATATATATATATATATATATATATATATATATATATATATATATATATATATATATATATATATATATATATATATATATATATATATATATATATATATATATATATATATATATATATATATATATATATATATATATATATATATATATATATATTGATACAATCACACGTGAAAAGGGACACAACAGAGCACCTTAGCTTTTGTCTTTATTCAAGACATCTTCAGAGGCAATTGGATTACATGGACAGAGAGAGGCTTAAATATACAAGGTGACCTTAAAAACATGAGGTCAGGTCATAATGATGTCATCCACTAATCCCCACACCAACACACAGGTAGAGGAGCTTAAGAGAAGAGGGGTGACGTGACTAGTCAGGTCAAAAATAAGGGACCCACAAAATAACTATCATACATCTAGATCAAAGGTTTTCAAAGCATTCTTAACCTTGGGCCACTGACAAATAAATTTATGTAACATATTATCAGTTTTGAACTGACCATCACTAAGGTTTATTGATTTTAATTCCTTAATCAAACTAGCTTCAACCAGAAGTCTTTCTGTGACACAAGATGATTTAAATACTTCTAAGCTTTTTTCCCAAGCAATAGGGTGATTATTATTCCTAACATGAACGAACAAGGCACTGCTTTCAGATGCTGTTCTGATATTATATTTATGTTGTTTGATTCTGAGCTGCAGTGTTTTTCCTGTCTGTCCTACATAATTACAATTACATTTGCTACATGGAATACAATGAACACTTCCATTTACATTCAAAATTGGGCTATTCCTTATTAACATATTGGTAATGGTTGAGTCATACTTGAAAACAACTAACAGCTCTCTCAAATCAATCCCACTTTACCTTATATGTATGGATTGATCAAAACACACAAGCTTAACAATCCTTTACGTCCTATCGTGAGTTCTGTGGGTTCTGTTACTTACAAATTATCCAAGTGGCTGGTAAAGATGCTATCCCCTCTTACAGGCCAAATATCTAACTCACATATACACAATAGCAGTGATTTAATTGATAAACTTAAGAAACACAATGAACCTTGCGAATTAATAAGTTTTGATGTAAATTCACTGTTCACTAGAGTACCTGTGAAAGACCTACTTTCATTTCTTAAAGATAAATTACAACTGTTAGATTTAACTATTGAACATGATACTTTCCTGAAATTGATAGAGTTATGCGTAACTGACAATGTGTTTAGAGCAAATGGGAAGTTCTACAAGCAAATATTTGGCATGAGCATGGTTAATTGTCTTTCTGCTCCTCTAGCCTGTATTTATATGGAGTTTTTTGAGTCTAGATTACTACCCAATATAGTGGACTTTATTCCTCCATGGTATAGATATGTAGATGATGTTCTTTGTCTTTGGCCCAGAAACAGTGACCCATTGGAATTTTTAGACAAGCTTAATGATATTGTCCCAAGTATCACATTCAAAATTGAAAGAGAAATAAATGGATCCCTTCCATTCCTTGATATGCTTATCATGAGAAATGGCCAAAACTATAAATTTAAGGTACGTATACAGAAAGCCCACACAGGTAGACAGTTTCATTCACTTTTTATCAAATCACCTGGAGTCTACCAAAATGTCAGTTTTTTCTGCTATGTTCTTAAGATGTCTGCGTATTTGTGACTCTGAATTTATTGACGATGAATTGAAACACATTCGTTCCATTGCACAGAAACTCGGGTACCCTTCTGTGTTTGTTGAGCGTTGTTTTAAAAGGGCTAAAAAATCCTTTCATTCCTCTCAAACCAGACAAATTCCTACACTTAAGAATATTTTGGCTCTGCCCTATCGTAATGAATTTGTCCCGTTAGTTCGGTCCCTCAAGCTTCTAAATATTAATGTTGTTTTCAAGTATGACTCAACCATTACCAATATGTTAATAAGGAATAGCCCAATTTTGAATGTAAATGGAAGTGTTTATTGTATTCCATGTAGCAAATGTAATTGTAATTATGTAGGACAGACAGGAAAAACACTGCAGCTCAGAATCAAACAACATAAATATAATATCAGAACAGCATCTGAAAGCCGTGCCTTGTTCGTTCATGTTAGGAATAATAATCATCCCATTGCTTGGGAAAAAAGCTTAGAAGTATTTAAATCATCTTGTGTCACAGAAAGACTTCTGGTTGAAGCTAGTTGATTAAGGAATTAAAATCAATAAACCTTAGTGATGGTCAGTTCAAAACTTATAATATGTTACATAAATTTATTTGTCAGTGGCCCAAGGTTAAAATTTTTTTGAAAACCTTTGATCTAGATGTATGATAGTTATTTTGTGGGTCCCTTATTTTTGACCTGACCTGACTAGTCACGTCACCCCTCTTCTCTTAAGCTCCTCTACGTGTGTGTTGGTGTGGGGATTAGTGGATGACATCATTATGACCTGACCTCATGTTTTTAAGGTCACCCTGTATTTCGTCCATGTAATCCAGTTGTTTGAAGATGAATAAAGATTTAAAGAAGTTGCTGTATTTTATCAAATTTATTTATACATGTTATTGTGATTTACATGAAATATATATATATATATATATATATATATATATATATATATATATATATATATATATATATATATATATATATATATATATATATATATATATATTTCATGTAAACTAATAATGAAAACGTGGATGATAAATCTTGATAAAATCACGGAAAATGGAAACAACGGAGTACCTTAGCTTGCTTTTTTAATTATATATATATATATATATATATATATATATATATATATATATATATATATATATATATATATATATATATATATATATA